ACGCGAGTGAAGCTGCCCTCGGGCTCCAAGAAGGTCATCTCTTCGGCCAACAGAGCTGTGGTCGGTGAGTGGCAGGTGGCAGTCGAATGCTGGGGGCTGCCTGTTAACAGCCAGCAGCTAGACCCTGGCCCCCAACTGCCTGTCCACTGATGCGTGGGCTCTGAGTTCCAGCACCTGTGTAGTCTCTGAGTTAGAGAATCTGCAGAGCGGCCACCCTAGTGCCTCCCTCCCCGCTGGTCAGAAGTTGACTGAGGCTGGACTGAGCCAGCTGGGGCTTCTCAGGCAGACTGGTCTGCACTGTGGGGTAACTCGGATACAGGTGATTCCTGCTTTTGCCCAGTTGGCTAGTAATATCTTAAAAAAATGTGATTCCTGAAAACCACTCACTAAGTGTGTTGAAGGATTTGAACCCAGCTTTGTTGATTTTGCTGTTTGATAGCATTCTTGAATCCCCGTGGCAATCTCAGTCCTGCATGGGGGAGACTTTTGAGGGTAGAGTCGTAGAATATACAGAACTGTGGCTGAGATGTAGCAGACTGTCAGCCATCCTCTTGGAGGGTGTTCAGAGGTTGAGGGACCTCCCAGTGTCAGATGGTCGAGCAGGGAAGGGCTTCTCTGAAGAACCAGGGGTTGAGATAGGCATTCCAGATGCTTGCTAGAGGCCTGCCTTGGCTGCACCGCGGAGCCTGAAGAAACTTGCCGTAAGCTGACAGTTTCCTTGGTGGTACAGTTGCAAGGCGGTACTGAAGTTCCTGGGAGCCGCGTGATGCTGTATGACAGTACAGAGAGGGTAATTAGGATAGGGGATGGGGCCCTGGCAAGGACCCAGCAGGGGCTGTTCTGCCTGATGGGAGGGTTCTGCAGTGCTGGGCAGGGTGTGATTCACCTCCCTGAGGTACCCGATCTCCCCAATAGGTGTGGTGGCTGGAGGTGGCCGCATTGACAAACCCATCCTCAAGGCTGGCCGTGCCTACCACAAATATAAGGCAAAGAGGAACTGCTGGCCGCGTGTGCGGGGTGTGGCCATGAACGTAAGTAGCCAAGAAACAGGCAGTGGGGTATTCAGGGTACAGGGGCCATGAGGCTGGGGGGACAGGTTCTTTCCTGGAGTGTTCCTCGCTGGTAGGGGATCTGTAGTGAGGCTCTGGGCAGTGGTTTGTAGGCAGAGGCTGGTTGGTTGTGCCCTTCCCCAAGCTCTCCTGAGGTAGGTTGGGGCCTCCCTGATGTGACACCGTCTGCTTCTGCCTGCAGCCCGTGGAGCATCCCTTTGGAGGTGGCAACCACCAGCACATCGGCAAACCCTCCACCATCCGCAGAGATGCCCCTGCTGGTCGCAAAGTGGGTCTCATCGCTGCCCGCCGGACCGGGCGTCTCCGGGGAACTAAGACTGTGCAGGAGAAAGAGAACTAGTGTTGGGGGCTCAATAAAGTTGGTCCTTCCTCCACTGAGCTGTGTTTGCCTGTGGTCTCAGAGGGTGGGATTCCTAATGGGCCAACTGCTACAGAGCCCCTGGTATAGGGAGCAGGGACATCGGGAGATGTACCAGTGAACAGTGGGAGCTCCGGAGAGAGCAGGTGGGCGTGCCGGTGGTTTCACATCTTACCTCTGGAACCTCTCACCACCCTGCCTATGGAGCAGAGAAGCCCACCCCTGAGGAATGGAGCCACCATACTTGCATTCGTTAACTTGGCTTGAGCACTTGGAGAATTTAGGTGAGAGTGGATGTTGGACTCCTAAAGCCACAGTTTGGGAGGCAAAGAAGGTGTGCTGCAGTGGGAGGGCCAGGACCGAGCCAGGCTGAGTTCTCAGCACAAATGGGGTCTGTGGCCCACAGCACTTTACTGCAAACTTTGTGACAAGTTGTTGAAAGTTGATAGGATCAGGGCAGACTTGGCACTAAGGTGCGAGTGGAGGCCCCCAATGACTTAGGACCAGAATGTTCTCTTCCCAGAGGCCAGCCAGAGCCCCAGGCCCTAGTGGTTCCCCTCGTGAGCCAACAGGAAAGTGGAGTTGTAGGTGACTGCCTTTGACTGCTCGTGTGGCAGGCAGTTTGGGGACAGTAGGATTGGGTGGCTTGGTGAGGTGAGATGGTCCCTGAGGCTGCCGGTGGAGATGCACTGGCCAGAGAGTCTTCCTGACTTCCCTGAGTTGGATGCATGAGGACTGGTCACTTGAGGGGTGTTTGGAGAGGCTGAACCAGTGTGTTTCCTGGCTAACAAGGTGGCACTTTGCTTTTATGGTCCGGGTCTTTACTGTGAGCTTCACTCCTCGTTCTCCATCTTACCTTCCTGGGCCCCACCTACCCTTGGCCACCCAGCATACCTAGGCAGTGACTCCAGCACGGCTAGGACCTGGATCCTGGGTAGAGAAGACAGGGCAGTGTTTAGTCCTGAAGGCAAGAGCACTGGGTGTGGTGGCCTGGACTGTAACTTGCCGCTGCTTTTACTGCTTGCTTCTCTGTGATGTGGCCTGGGGCCTTGGCCAAACGCGTGACCATCAGGGAGGGTTTGTTCCAGGAGCAGTCAGGCTCCCGAGGAGTCTCATTCTGAGTGGATACTGGGCCCTTTGTACAGGAGTTAGGGCAGCGAGTTAAACTCTGAAATGGGCTTTGACCAGTAAGTATCCTCTTCACTCAACGTTCTGGGTGATCAGGTGGCCCTGAGGAAGGCTGTGCTTTTGTGTAAAGGAAAGTCGGATCTTGGTTGTAGTGCCTTTAGCGCCTCACTAGGAAGAGACAACTAAAAATTACTGTAATCTGTTAGCATCCGAAATCCGTGCTGAGGCCTCGAGGTCATGGTTGTGGCCTGCCACCTGGTGGCAGTGTCCCGGATTTACGGCGTTGCATTTAATGGTCCTCGAGGAGGCCGGCCACCGAGATGTGGAGTTCGTTTCCCAGAGCGGCCCAAGGGCGCCTCCTCCCAAGGCGCGGGGCTTTACGTCACTTCCTGCTGGGTTTCCATTGGCGGGGCTGATTGGGTAGGCGGGGCCTGGTCGCGCGGCAGTTCCTCTGCGGCGCTGAGGTGAGTGTGGGTCCGTTAGGGGCGGGCGCGGACGTTCCCTTCGCGACTGCCGCAAGGCTCGGGGTCGGGGCCGCCCCAGGTCAGCGACGCCTCCCGTGCCGGGGCCTCCCTGCCTGACTCCCCTTCCAGGGCGCCTCACGAGGCTGCTTCTGCGTCCCTTCTCCCCGGGACCCCGCCCCGCGCCGGCGCGCCCTCCACGGACTGACGGCCCCTCGGGGTTCGCCCCGCCCCGGCCCCGCACGCCGGCCCGCTCGGAGCTGTCTGTCCCTAACCCCACCCCGGCCCCGCAGACCGGCCCACCCCGCGCACGCTCGGAGCTGTCTGTCCCTAACCCCGCCCCGGCCCAGCCCGGCCCCGCGTGCTCTGGGCTGTCTGTCCCGCGCCCGCGCCCCCGCCCCGCGCACGCTCGGGGCTGTCTGTCCCTAACCCCACCCCGGCCCAGCCCGGCCCCGCGGGCTCGGGGCTGTCTGGCCCGCTCCCCCGCCCCGCGCATGCTCGGGGCTGTCTGTCCCTCTCCCGCCCCGCCGCTCCCCGTCTCCCGCCGCTTCCCCCGCCCCGGCTCCCGGCGGGGCTGTTGATGCCCGCACACTCTCTTCCCCTGACGCCCCTCTGAGCCCTCCCCGCGCCCCGCCGAGCTGCCCACCTTCCTCCCCGTGCCTCTGCTCCCGGCGCTCCGGGGCCTCCTCCCTGCAGCCGCAGTTTGGTTTCTCTTCGCACGGGCCTTTATTCAAGGTCGGAAACCTTTTCATTTCTCCTACGGTTTTGTGCTTTTAGTGTATGTTAGAAAACAAAACAAAACAAACCCTTTTAAGGAAAGTTTAAAATGGAAGGAAATACAGTGAATGGATTAGCAAACACTGGTGACTGGGCTTGCCAGTTCCTTTGTTGCCACAGTTGTTTCAAGCCTTTTTTTTTTTTTTTAAAGATTTTATTTCTCCCCAAAGCCCCCGGGTACATAGTTGTATATTCCTCATTGTGGGTCCTTCTAGTTGTGGCATGTGGGACGCTGCCTCAGCGTGGTTTGATGAGCCGTGCCGTGTCCGCGCCCGGGATTCGAACCAACCAAACACTGGGCCGCCTGCAGCGGAGCGCGTGAACTTAACCACTCGGCCACGGGGCCAGCCCCAAGCCTCTTTTTTTTTTTTTTTTTTTTTAATAAATTTAAGAAAACTGTTGAGGGAGATTACTTTTAGACCCAGAGTCCTAGTCCCGTTCGCTTCGTTAGGTAACCCCTGTTTTGAACAGTATTCTTTCAACAGTTTTGTTTTTAGCTTTACTGAGATACAATTGACACGGGAATTGTATACATTTAAGGTGTACAACCTGATGTTTTAAACGTGTACTTTGTAAATGAAATAATCACCACGTTCAACCTGACGTGTCCATCGCCTCACAAAGATACCGTTTTCTTTGTTTTTTTTCTTTTTTGGTGAGAACACTTAAGACCTACCCTCTTAGCAAATTTCAAAGTGTACAATACAGTGTCGTTAACTGCAGTCAGGATGCTGTACCTCAGGTTTCCAGACCTTACTCATCTGGCATAACTGAAAGTTTGTATTTTGACTAGCAGCTGTCCCTTTTCCCCAACCCCACACCCTGGCAACCACCATTCTACTCTCTGCTCCCGTGCGTTGGACTATGTACACACAGATGAGATGGTCAGTATTCGTCTTTGTCTGGCTATTTCACTTAGCGTAATGCTCTCCAGGTTCATCCATGTTGTTGCAAATGGCAAGATTTCCTTCTTTGTTATAGCTGAGTCATATTCCATTGTATATGTCTATATGCCACATCTTCTTTATCCATTTATCCATGGATGGACGCTTAGGTTGCTTCCGTGTCTTGGCTATCATGAATGATGCTGCAGTGAACATGGGAGTGCAGATATCTCTCTGAGTGATCCAGATTTCATTTATTTTGAATAAATACCCAGAACTTGGGTTGCTGGATCATAGGGTAGTTCTAGTCTTAATTTTTTGAGGAAGCTCCATACTGTTTTCCACAGTGGCTGCGCCAGTTTACACCCTCACCACCAGTGCACAAGGGTTCCGTTTTCTCCACATCCTCACCAGCACCTGTTAGCTTTTGCATCTTGATAACAGCTGTTCCAGCAAGTGTGAGGTGACAGCTCACTGTGGTTTTGATTTTTATTTCCCTGATGATTAGTGATGCTGAGCGTCTTTCCATGTGCCCATCTGTATGTCTTCTTGGAGAAATACCTATTCAGGTTCTTTGCCCAGTTTTGAATCACATTATTTGGTTTCTTTGGTGTTGAGTTGTGTGAGTTCCTTGTATTTTTGGATCTTAACGCCTTATCAGACATATGTTTGCAAGTATATTCTTCCATTCTTTAGGCGCATTTTCACTCTGTTGATTATTTTGCTGTCAGCACATTTTCTTCTACACACCTAGTAGTGTTTCTGTATTTTAAAATCTACGTACGTATGGTACTATTGACATTCTACACTTAACAGCCTTACTCAACCTTGCAGCTTTGTGCTGTGTCTCCGTGACAGTGATGTGGTTCATTCCTTTCAAACACTGTGACCTTGCCTGTTCCTTGATGGATATTGAGGCCGTTCCCTTTTCTCTTGTACACAGGCGTGCGGTAATGTTCTTGTGTGTCTTTATGTGTGCATTAGCCAGAGTTGCTGTAGGGCACATACCTAGAGTTAGGTTCCTGACTGAGGGGTTTGCAGGGTTTCAGCTTTACCAGTGTTTCCAGAGTGATGGTACTAACTTACAGTCCTGTGGGACTCAGAGTCTCCATGTTTCCTTGTGTCTTCAACATTGCATATTGTGAAGAATTTTATATTTTCCCCAGTTTATGGGGAAAGAAGTCTTCTTTTAATTTGCCTCTACCTAATTCTTAATAATGTTGAAAATCTTTCAGCTATTTATTGGGCAGCTTGATTTCTTTATCTGTGATTTACCAGGTCACATCCTGTGTTCATTGTTTTTTCAATAGAATGGTCTTTTCCTTTTTGTATTTTTTAATATATTCTGTATATTTGTCTTTTGTTATATACATTTGCAAATAGCTTCTTTTACTCTGCAGGTCATCTTTTAATTTTGTAGGGTCTTGTACAGAAGATTTTTTTTGATGGAGTAAAAGTAAACAACTTTTCCTTTTTGGACTGTGTTTTTTGCATATTATTTCCTTATATTAGCTATCAGCATTTTTTAAGAACATTTAGGTCTTCAACCCACCTGAAATATATTTTTGTGTGCCAAAGAAGGCAGGGTTCTAATTTTATTTTCCTGTGGAAAATCAGTTGTGCCAGCACAATTTGTTGAATAGCCCATTGCTGCATTGCGGCTGTGTCCTTCGCATGTGCCTGGATCTATTGCAGTATCTTCTCTCCTATGCTCGGACCTCACTTTTGTTGCTAGAACCCAACAATAATCCTTGATGTCTAGTAGGGCAGGCCCTCCTGTCCTTCATTCTTTTTTGGCATTGCCTTGGTTGATCCTGGATCGTTAATCTTGTGATATTTAGAGTCATTTTGGTCAGATTTCATGATATCCTTTTGCAGTTTTGATTGCCCAGGATTAATAGATCGATTTGGGGAGAACTGACATTTTTATGATATTGAGTTCTCTTATTTATGAACATTGACTGCTTCTCCATATGCTTTTTTTTTAATGCCTTTCAATAAAATTTTATCATTTTTTGTTAGACTTCTTCTAAGGTGCCGTACAGTTGTTGCAGCTGTTGTGAATGCCAGCTTCTGGTTGCTGATTGCTAGTATATAGGAGTGGTATTGATTAGTCTGTATTAACCTTGTATATGGCAATCCTGGGGAACTCTGATCATCCGAACAGTGAGTTGAGACTCTTGGATTTTCTATGTTGATGATCTTATCATTCTCAAATAATGGCCGTTTCGGCTATTCTCTTCCAGTCCTTATGGCTTGTGTTTTTTTTCTGTGACTGCTGCATGGGCTAGGATCTTTGGTAGATGTTGGATAGCAGCAGGGGAGGGAGCAGCCTTGTCTCTGACTCCTGTGAGTGCCTCTGCTGTGTTATCTTAGTACTGTTATGGAAACAGACTGGAGTGCTGGGAACCCCAGGGTCCTGGACCACACTGAGAACCACTGCTGTGTGTGTGGCATTAGCATTGTGTCCCCGTTTTTGTTCTTAATAGTATTTCATTTTCCATCTCTTCCTGCCCGGCTTGGACCTGCCAGATGTTTATGTATTTTATTAGCATTTTCAAAGAACAGGTGTTGAGATTGTTTTATGTTTCTTTAAGTCGTGTTTTCTTTATTTTCTTTCATCATCTTTCCTGGAATTACTTTCTCATTCTGTCTGATTTCTTCTTGAATGCTTAGATCATTTATTTCAGTCTCTCTTGTGTTAAAATAAGTACATTCAGAAGCACATTTTCCCCTAGGTAGACTTTGTTTCCATTTCTGCCTTGGTTTCTGCTTCTATGTTTTTCTTGGAGGGGTTATTTTTTTCTATCATATATTTCTACTAAAACAACAATATGGTCAGAGAATGTTTTGCCGAATGATATCAGCCTTTGGAATTTGTTGAAACTTTCTTTGTTGCCTAGTATGTGATGTTTTTTATAATATTCAGTGTACATCTTGAAAAAATGTGTATTGTCTGTGTTTTAAGTAAATATTCTCTACTTGATCCACTCGTTTCTGAGGGAAGTGTGTTAAAACCTCTCATCCCAGGGGAGGGTTTGCCAGTCCCTCTTTGCTGCTTCAGTTGGCTTTAGCTTTCTGCATTTCAAGAGTTTGTTGGTAGATACGCACATACTTGTAATTACAGCTTTGTGGTGGATTTTTCCTTTTATTAATATGTGGTGTCCATTTTTGTTCCTATTAATGACTTTTTACTTTCAGTTCTGTTTTCATTGGTATAAGTATCACTAAACACATGCAGCAATGCATATTAAGCTCACAGACACTACAGCGAGGGGAAGAAGCCGGCACGGAGCAGTGTAGACGGCAGAGGCCCTCTAGTAAAGTTCCCCAGAGGCACAGCGGATCTGTGGTGGTGGAGGTCAGGAGAGAGGCTCCCCTCAGTAGCTCAGGAGGGACGTGGGGCCTGCAGGGGCAGGAGGGCTGACCTGGGCACTGGTTCCATGGGCATGGGCCTATTGTGACTGCCCCTTGAGCTGTGTGCTGAGGATTTACTCACTCTTCTGTGTAAATGTCGTACTTCAATAAAGAGCTTTAAAGACACCGGAAAGGTCTATAGCTATTACAGCTTTATTTTGATTGGTGTTTCTTTGATCTGTCTTATATTCAGCTTGGGTTATTTTATTTCCGGTTGTACGGGTGCATTTTGTGTGTCTAATTGGAGAGTCTTGTGCTTTCAGTAGGTGAGTTTAATCCTTTTATTTCTCACCATTGCTCATCTGTTGGACTTGTTTGTACTAGTTTTGTATTTTTACCTTCTGTACTTTGTCTTTGTTCTATGCCTTCTATTGATTTTTTATTTTACTTCCTTCTCAACCCTTAATGTGTTGTCTTTATTCCTTCATATGAAGTGAGTGAGTGTCTCCGTCCTCCTCTGAATGAGGCAACTTCCTCTGCAGGGAGGAGTGGTGGGGTAGGCGGGGAAGGCAGGGGTGGGGCAGGTCCCACGAGAAGAGGGAGGCCATCCAGGCAGGGGGGTGGGGCTGGGCAGGGCTGCCCCAGGCAGGGAGTGGAGTCTGCCAGGGAGGCCAGCCCTGTTGGGCGTGAGTGAGGCCCTGAAGCCACTGCAGGAGGGGCCAGGCTGGGCCTCCGTATGTTCCTCTCTCTTCCCTCAGCACCTGAGTGACTGGCTCCTGCCTACCACCCCGCGGAAGTCCAGGGTACTAGGTGATGGCGGCTTTGCACCTGTCTGCCCCACCCCAGGTGAGTGTCTGTCCTGCCCGGGAGATGTGAGCTCTCCACCCAGGGCTTCCCTGCCTGCTCTGCCTCAGCAGACGTTATCAGGCATCTCTGGTCTGGGGCGCTAAGCAGAGGAAGAGTCGCCTGGGACTCCCACAGCCTCCCTGGATAGCTGGCTCACTGGCTAAAGGGTCAGGACACCCCCTGGGCCATGTTGGGGGCTCATGCCTATGGGCACTCCTGTGCTGCTGCCCCAGCATACCTCTGCTACCCCTGCCCCAGGGCCAGCTTGAGCCACACCTGGGCCTGCAGCAGCCTCTGTCATTCCAGGCCGAGCTGACCTTTGAGGACGTGGCTGTGTTCCTCTCTCAGGAGGAGTGGGGCCGTCTAGACCCTGCTCAGAGGGGCCTCTACAGGGACGTGATGCTGGAGACCTACAGGAACCTGGTCTCCCTGGGTAAGGTCCCTCCCTAGGATGCAGCTCAGGGAACAGCCCTGGAGACTGGGGGCTCAGCAGGGCTAGGCTGGGGGCTTCACCACCCAGAGATGAGTGTTGCTGACCCAGGCAGCCCGGTGTGTGCAGAGGAGGGGGGCGGGTGGGGCTGGGTCAGCCCTTCCCTCCTCTGAGCTGGATAAAACTGCCCCACTGCCTCAGACCCGAGGCAGGCCCCTCCCCAGGGGGATTTGCACACTTCCTGGTGGAGAGAGCCCCCTGTGCTCTTGTTCCTTATGCTCAGATCTTCATCTTCATGACCACCCCAGCCCTCCAGAGAGTGTCTAGACTTCTGTCACCCCACTATACCTGTGTTCCCCCCTCCCCCTGCAGTCCCATGGTGAGACCATGCTTGGCGCAGCCCTACATCCTTGGCACTAACCCCAGTCCCCTTCTTCCCAGGAGCTGGGCCTGCAGGTCCCAAGCCTGGAGTGATCACACAGCTGGAGCGAGGGGATGAGCCATGGGTCCTGGACACACAGGGCGTCGAGGGGAGAGAGCGACAGAAAGTTGATGGCTCAGGTGCGTGGGGCTGCTTCCCTAACTCAGTTGCTGAACAAGCATTTGTCAGGGTCCAAGGTGTGTGTCTAATGACTCAGGAGTTTGGAGGAAGATGCATCAGGGTCAGCATGGCAGCCTTGGGAGTGGTCTCTGCTGAAACCTGGGTCACCTTCTTCAGCCTTGGTATCTCAGTGGGATTTCTTGAGCTGAATCTCCTAGGTAAGTGAGAGGGACAGTGTTGGCAGACGAGAAGAGGGAAGGGCATTCTGTGAGGGAAGGCTGGGTCCATGGGACCCCATGGAGCCCTGCCCTCTAGAGCTCATGCCCTACGAGGGGTTCAGATAGGGACATAGTGATGGAGACCATTGCTTCATTCCCCTCTTGTGAACTAACCCACTTGACAATCATAGACCATTGCAGGAGAGTGAGGATACACGTCACCCAAATCTCACCCTCAGATACAAGTGTGTTCTGGTGTGTACCCTGTGTACCTTTTCTAGCACCGTCAGTTCCACCTCTGTAGACGAGTGTTGCTTCTTAACAGGAGTGCAGTGATCCTATGTGCACTGCTGTCTCCCCGACTTTTTCGCTAAACCTGTTTCCATTTCAGTACCCACGAGTCTCGGTCACTGCTGTCACTGGAAGTGCCAGTGGGAATGGTGTTCTTTAGGTTCATTGCCATGAACAAGGCTGATGAGCATCCTTTTGCACGTGTCTTGATAAAGTCCTAGGAAGGAATTCCTGACTCAAAGGATTTGAATTTTTCTCTTGTAAATTTATTTGAATACAAATACCTACAGAAATGGGGCAGACCCTGTTTAGAGCTCAGTGAACTTTTACAAAAAGCCAGCCTCTATATCAAAATACAGAATGTTTCCGTTTCCCTGGGTGCCCACTAGGCCTCCTCTGTCATTTCCCCTGCTCCCCACAGGGCCCTTCTCTCTGTTCCTGCAGGCTGCTCTGCCCTGGGGCTTGTCTGTCTGGACACGGGTGGGGCATCTGAACCTTGGGAGGGTCGCCATGCTGCGTGCGTTTCTTCTTTCTCGTTGCCATCCACTGCTCTGTTGTGTGAACACACCACAAGTCATTTTCCATTCAACCTGTAGAGGACATTTGGTTGTACTTATCATGGCATTGTGCATGTGTCTTTTGGCTCACAGAGGATGCGTTTCTGGTGGGTGTTTTCCTGCAAGTGGAGTCACTGTGAGCATCTAGTCAGGGAAGGAAGGAATGGAGGCTTGAGCACCAGGAAGCATTCTGTGTGGCATCTTGAGTTTAAGGTACTGGTGGCTCACCTGGGCGACGCCTCAGACCTGTGGGAAGAGCCGTGGGAATGGGGTGGCCTGCTAGGGGGAGCTGAGGCACCCCGGCCTCTGTTGCTCTGCCCTTCTCCTCCACAGCTGGCACAAACTCAGCCCTCTGCCCTCCTGGGGAGGTGACTGGTTTTCCAGCGTGAATTAGCTGCTGTTAGTCAGCCTTACGCTCCTTGGCCTTAATTTCTTTGTCAGTCAGATGTCCTCCATGCCTTTCAGGGCCCCTCCTTGCGTTGGTTTCCATGGTGCTGTGAAGCCTCCATCTCTGTCCTTTTGTAATGAGGACAGGTGTCCTGCAGTCCCACTCAGGCAGGGGTTGTGGGTGGAAGGCAGGCAGGAAGGGTGTGGATGTTAGAGTTGTCAGATCTGTGTTTAAAGGCTTGTGCTGCCATGTGGCCATGGCCCTGGGTGAGGTCTTTAAGCCTTGAGGCTCCAGGCTCTCATCCCTGCAAGGTGGTGTGACTTTGGGGATGATGGAATTGGTATGCCACAGGTGGTCAGCAGCATCTTCACACCTTCCTTCCAGAGTCAGAACAGGTGACTCTGAGATGTTCTGTTTGTTGTTTCAGCTCATGAGACCAGGACTGAGTACAAGGAGTTGACTTCAGGGAAGATGCTTGATGGTGGAGAACTGGGCCGACTCAGGCAGACTGTTCCCCAAGGACCTGAGCCAAGAGAGGAATGTGAACGTGCCAGGGAGCCGGAGGAGTGTGTGGACAAGCCTGTGGCACAGAGAGGCCCCAGGCCAGTCACACTGACCAATGATGCAAGTGGCCAGGAGTCTGGGGGAAGCCTCACATTGGAGTCAAGTCCTGTTCCTGATCAGAGACCTCACAAGTGTGACATATGTGAACAAAGTTTTGAACAGAGATCATACCTCAATAACCATAAGCGTGTACACAGGTCAAAAAAACCAAATACAGTTCATGATTCTGGGGAAATCTTCAGTGCAAATTTAGTTGTTAAAGAAGATCAGAAAATTCCCATTGGGAAAAGATTGCATTATTGTGGTTACTGTGGGAAAGCCTTCAGGTACAGTGCTAACCTTGTCAAGCACCAGCGGCTTCACAGTGAAGAGAAACCCTACAAGTGTGATGAGTGTGGGAAAGCCTTCAGCCAGAGCTGCGAGTTCATCAATCACCGGAGGATGCACTCAGGGGAGATCCCCTACCGGTGTGATGAGTGTGGGAAGACATTTAATCGGAGGCCCAACCTCATGAAGCATCAGAGGATCCACACTGGGGAGAAGCCCTACAAGTGTGGCGAGTGTGGGAAACACTTCAGCGCCTATTCTTCCCTTATATATCACCAGAGGATCCACACTGGAGAGAAACCCTATAAGTGCAACGACTGTGGGAAAGCCTTCAGTGACAGCTCAATCCTCATCCGACATCGTCGGACTCACACTGGAGAGAAGCCATTTGAGTGTAAAGAATGTGGCAAAGGCTTTACCCAAAGTTCTAACCTTATCCAACATCAAAGAATTCACACTGGAGAGAAACCCTATAAATGTAACGAATGTGAGAAAGCCTTCATCCAAAAAACCAAACTTGTTGAACATCAGAGGAGCCATACTGGAGAGAAGCCCTATGAATGTAATGACTGTGGCAAAGTCTTCAGCCAGAGCACACACCTCATCCAACATCAGAGGATCCACACAGGAGAGAAGCCCTACAAGTGTGGTGAGTGTGGGAAGGCCTTCCACAACAGTTCCAGACTCATCCATCACCAAAGGTCACACCATGGAGAGAAGCCGTACAAATGCAGTGATTGCAAGAAAGCCTTCAGCCAGGGCGCTTACCTCATCCAGCACCGGAGGATCCACACGGGGGAGAAGCCCTACAAGTGTGGCGAGTGTGGCAAGGCCTTCCGGCACAGTTCCAACATGTTCCAGCATCAGAGGATCCACACTGGGGAGAAGCCCTACAAGTGTGGCGAGTGTGGGAAACACTTCAGCGCCTACCCTTCCCTTATATATCACCAGAGGATCCACACTGGAGAGAAACCCTATAAGTGCAATGACTGTGGGAAAGCCTTCAGTGACAGCTCAATCCTCATCCGACATCGTCGGACTCACACTGGAGAGAAGCCATTTGAGTGTAAAGAATGCGGCAAAGGCTTTACCCAAAGTTTTAACCTTATCCAACATCAAAGAATTCACACTGGAGAGACCCTGTAAATGTAACGAATGTGAGAAAGCGTTCATCCAAAAAACCAAACTTGTTCAACATCCGAGGAGCCACACAGGGGAGAAGCCCTGCAAGCATGGCAAGCGTAGGAAGGCGTTCCAGCACAGTCCACTGTGTTCCCGCATCAGAGGATCCATAGCGGGAACCCCTCTCCCTGACAGTGGAGGAGGGCCTGTGAGTTCTGCGCACTTGCTCTACATGATCCACCCACCCCTTTATTTATTGTCCACACAGTGATGTCACAGGTCAAAGGGCATTTCTGTCTAATTAAAAAAACCTCTTCGTAAACCAAAAGCAGTGCATGTTCCTTTTAGACAAATTGAGAGAGAGTAAGGAAGCAAAAAGGGAAAGCTCCTGTAACCTCCCTCACTTAGAGAAAGAGACCTCGTTGCTGCTGATTTAGTCTAAGTTTCCTTTCAGACACATGTAGGAGCGTTTAAAAAGAAAACAGCCTTGTCATCGTAGCACTAGGATCTTCACCTCTGCTATTTCCTCAGTACCAGAAAACTCACACTGGAGAGAATGCCACATAGATACTTTTACATATGGTAAATTTAAAAACAATAACTGAGTCATACTTTTCTGTGTCACTTAAGAGAGTTGATAATTGCCTTTTTTATCGTGGTAAAATATACATAACACAGTTTACCATTTTAATCACTTTTAAGTGTACAGCTCGGTGGCATTAAATACATTCACAATGTTGTGTAACTATCACCACTATGTATTTCCAGAACTGTTTTGTTATCCCAAGCAGAAACTTTGTCCCCATTAAACAATAACACTCCATGTGCCCTTTCTTCCAGCCACTCTATTCTGTTTTCTGTCTCTATGATTTGCCTACTCTAGGTACCTCATATAAGTAGAATCAGACAACATTTGCCTTTTATGTCTGGCTTATTTAATTTAGCATGATGTCCTCAGGGTTCATCCATGTTGTTGCCAGTATCAGCACATCATTCTTTTTTATGGCTGAATAATATTCTACTGTGTGTAGATACCACATTTTGCTTATCAGTCCATCTGTTGATGGACACTCGGGTGTTTCTACCTTTTGACTATTGTGTATGATGCTGCTGTGAACATGGGTGTGCAAGTATCTGCTTGAATCCCTACTTTCAATACTTTTGAGTGTAATCCTAGGGTTCAAATTGCTGGCTCATATGGTAATTCTTTGTTTAACTTTTTGAGGAATGGCCAATCTATTTTTCCACGGCAGCTGTACCATTTTACATCCCCACTAACAATGCAGGAAGGTTCCAGTTTCTCAGCATCCTTGCCAACACTCATTTTCCATTTTTTTGATAATAGCCATCCTATTGGGTATGAAGTGGCATCTCATTGTGGTTTTGGTTTGCATTTTCCTGACCAATGATGTTAGTATCTTTTTAGGTGTTTATTGACCGTTTGTCTTTGGAGAAATTCATGCCCTTTGCCCAGTTTTGAATTGGATTCTTTATTCTTTTTTGTTGAGATGTAGGAGTTCTTTATATATTTTGCATAGTAATCCCTTGTCAGATACATAATTTGCAAATGTTTTCTTCCATTCTATGAGTTGTCTGTCTGCACTCTCAATAGTGTCCTTTGATGCACAGATTTTTAATTTCTATGAAGTTCAATTTATTTTTTTATTTTGTTGCCTGTGCTTTGGGTTATCGTATGCAAGAAATCCTCACTAACTCCAAGGTTATGGAAATTTGCCTCTGTGTTGTCTTCTAAGACTCTTACATTTTTAGGTCGTCTGTTTTGGTTTTTGATCCATTTTGAGCTAATTTTTGTGTGGTATAAGGTAAGGATGCAACTTCATTCTTTTGCATGTGGATGTCTAGTTTTCCTTACAGCATTTTTGGAGAAGACTTTGTTTTTCCCATTGAATGGTGTATTAGCTCAGGCTGCCATAACACAATACCACAGAGTGGATGGCTTTTCTTTCTTTTTTCTTTTTGGTGAGGAAGATTGTCACTGAGCTAACATCTGTTGCCAATCTTCCTCTTTTTCCTTGAGGAAGATTGTCACTGAGCTAACATCTGTGCCAGTCTTTCTCTATTTTATGTGAGATGCCGCCACAGTGTGGCTTGATGAGTGGTGCTAGTGCACGCCCGGGATCTGAACCTGTGAATCCTGGGCTGCCGAAGCAGAGTGTGCAAACTTAACCACTATGCCACCAGGCCAGCCCCTTTTTAAAATTTTAAATTTTCAGTGAGGAAGATTGTCCCTGAGCTAACATCCATGCCAGTCTTCCTGTATTTTATGTGGGATGTCTCCACAACGTGGCTTGATGAGCAATGTGTAGGTCTGAGCCTGGGATTCGAATCGGCGAACCTCGGGCCACTGAAGCACAGTGTGCAAACTTAACCACTATGCCACCCCCCTTAGTGGATGGCTTAAAAAATAAATTTATTTCACACAGTTCTGGAGGCTAAGAAGTCCAAGAGAAAGGTACCAGCTGATTGAGTTCCTGTGAGGGTTCTCTTCCTGGCTTGCATACAGCTGCCTTCTCACTGTGTCCTCATATGGTGGAGAGAGACCTCTGGTGTCTTCCTCTTATAAGGGCACTAGCCCCATCAGAATAGGGCCCCACCCTTATGACTTCATTTAAGTACTTTTGAGTGTAATCCTAGGGTTCAAATTGCTGGCTCATATGGTAATTCTTTGTTTAACTTTTTGAGGAATGGCCAAACTATTTTTCCACGGCAGCTGTACCATTTTACATCCCCACTAACAATGCAGGAAGGTTCCAGTTTCTCAGCATCCTTGCCAACACTCATTTTCCATTTTTTTGATAATAGCCATCCTATTGGGCATGAAGTGGCATCTCATTGTGGCATTTTCCTGACCAATGATGTCACCTTTATCACCACCAGCTCTGTCTGCAAATGCAGTCACGTTGGGGGCTAGAGCTTCAACATAGGCATTTAGGGGAGGGGACACAAACGCTCAGTTCATAACAAATGGTCTTCACACCCTTGTCAAAAGTAAATTGACCATATATGCAAGGGTTTGCTTCTGGGCTCTCCATTCCTTTGGTCTCTATTGCTGTCCTTATGCCAGCACTATACTGTTGTGATTTCTGTAGCTCTGTAGTAAGTTTTAAAATCAGGAAGTGTGACTCCTCCAACTTTGTTCTTTTTCAAGGTTATTTTGGCTATTTGAAGTTGCTTGAGATTCCGTATGAATTTTAGAATGAGTTTTTCTATTTCTGCAAAAAAGATCATTGAGATTTTGATAAGGATTTTACTGAGTATGTAGGTCACTTTGGCTAGTATTAGCATCTTGGCAGTGTTGTCTTCCAGTCCATGAGCGCAGGACGTGTTTCTGCTGTTTGTGTGTCTTGAGCTTCTTTCAGTGGCGTTTTGTGGCTTTCACTGTGCAGTCTTTTGCCTCCTTGGTAAATTCATTCCTGAGGATCTTATTTCTCTTAATGCTGTTGTTAGTGGAATTGTTCTCTTAGTTTCCTTTTTGGATTATTCATTGTTAAGTATACAGAAATGCAACTAGTTTTCGTCTTGATATTGTGTCCTGCAACTTTGCTGAGTGAGTTTGTTAGCTCTTATGTTTGTCTGTGTTGTTTGTGTGTGTGCGCTCTTTAGGGTTTACTACACAGAAGATCATGTCACCTGTGAACAGAGATCATTTTACTTCTTTTCCAATTTGGATACCTTGTATTTATTTTTCTTGCATAATTTCTCTGGCTAGAACCTCCAGTACTATGTCAAACAGAAGTAGCAAAAGTAAGCACCCTTTACTTGTTCCTGATCTTAAAGCTTTCAGTCGCTCCCCATCGTGTATGACATTAGGTTTTTCTATAAGGCTTTTGTCATTTTGAGGAAGTTTCTGCTCCTGGTTTATTCAGTGTTTTATCATGAAGCTGTTAAATTTTGTCAAAAGCTTTTTTTCATCACTTGAAATGATCAAGTGGTTTTTTTCTTCATTCTACTAATGTGATGTATTACAATGATCGATTTTCATATGTTGGCCACCCTTCCATTCTAGGAATAAATCCCACTTGGTCCTGGTGTATAATCCTTTTAATATGCTGTTGAATTCACTTTGCTAGTATTTTATTGAGGATTTTTGCATCAGTATTCATAAGGGATTTGGACCCATAGTTTTTGTCTTTGTCTGTCTTTGATATCAGGGTAATGCCGGCCTCATAGGATGAGTTAGGAAGTGTTACTTCTTCAGTTTTGGGGAGGATTTTGAGAAGAACTGGTGTTTATTCTTTTTGAAATGTTTGGTCGCATTGACCAGTGAAGCTGTCTGTGTTGGGGTTTCCTTTGTTAGGAGGTTTTTAACTACTAATTCAATTTTCTTACTAGTTATAAATCTATTCACATTTTTTATTTCTTCATGAGTCAGTGTTGGTAGATTGTGAGTTTCTAGGAATTTGTCCATTTCATCTAGGTTATCTAATTTGTTGGTTTATAGTTATTCATAATATTCTTCTATAATCCTTTTTATTTCTGTTAGGTTGGTTGTAACATCCCCCTGTTCATTTATGATTTTAGTTGTTTGCACCTGCTCTATTTACTTAGTCTAGCTAAAGGTTCGTCAATTTTGTCAATCTTTTTGATGAACCAACTTTTGGTTTTGTTAATTTTCTCTATTTCTCTATTTTTAATTCATTGTCTCCACTCTTTCTTTATTGTTTCCTTCCTTCTGTTATCTTGGGTTTATTTTTTTTTCCTTTTCCAGTTCCTTAAAGTGTACAGTTACTGATTTGAGAACTTCCATGTTTTTTTTTAAAATTTTTTATTGAGTTAATGATAGGTTACAATCTTGTGAAATTTCAGTTGTATATTATTGTCTGTCAGATGTGTTGTAAGTGCAACCCTTCACCCTTTGTGCCCACCCCTCACCCCCCGCTTTCCCCTGGTAACCACTAATCTGTTCTCTTTGTCCACAGGTTTAAATTCCTCATATGAGTGGAGTCATACAGAGATTGTCCTTTTCTATCTGGCTTATTTCACTTAACATAATTCCCTCAAGGTCCATGCATGTTGTTGCAAATGGGACGATTTTGTTCTTTTTTATGGCTGAGTAGTATTCCATTGTATATATATATATATACCACATCTTTATACAATCATCTGTTGATGGGCACTTAGGTTGCTTCCACATCTTGGCGATTGTAAATAATGCTGCAATAAACATTGGGGTGCATAGGACTTTTGGAATTGCTGACTTCAAGCTCTCTGGATAGATACCGAGTAGTGGAATAGCTGGATCATATGGTAGTTCTATTTTTAATTTTTTGAGGAATCTCCATACTGTTTTTCATAGTGGCTGCACCAGTTTGCATTCCCACCAGCAGTGTATGAGGGTTCCTTTTTCTCCACACCTCTCCAACATTTTTTACTGTTTGTTTTAGTTATTTTTGTCATTCTAATGGGTGTAAGGTGATATCTTAGTGATTTGCATTTCCCTGATGATCAGTGATGATGAACATCTTTTCATGTGCCTATTGACCATCTGTATATCTTCTTTGGAGAAATGTCTGTTTATGTCTCCTGCCCATTTTTTGATCGAGTTAATTTTTTGTTGTTGAGTTGTGTGGGTTCTTTATATATTATGGATATTAAGCCTTTGTCAGATGTATTACTTGCAAATATTTTTTCCCAGTTAGTGGGTTGTTTTTTTGTTTCAATCCTGTTTTCCCTTGCCTTGAAGAAGCTCTTTAATCTGATGAAGTTCCATTTGTTTATTCTTTTCATTGTTTCCCTTGTCTGAGAAGACATGGTGTCCGAAAAGATCCTTTTAATACTGATGTCAAAGAGTGTACTGCCTAC